TGTGTGTGTGTGTGTGAGCAATCAGCAGTGCAGCTTGAGACTGTGATAGGACTTCGACAGAAAGGAGCAAAAGCTGTGGATGACATCATGCACTTGTTGCTGGGCTTTGAATCTCGGATGAGCTGACACATTCAGCCGGATGACTCAAATGTACGCAGCCTAGCGCACCAATTCACACACACACACACACAGCACCCAGTCTGACCCAGAAAGTGAGTTTGCTCCTTCTCACCCTGTGTACGTCCTCTTCAAACACGGCTTCATGGACGCTGCATGCAAAGAGGGCCGTGGGGAGGTCGCTCAGATCCATCATTTCCTCCGCCACGCCGTCCTGATCTGTCTCCCCAAACACCATGTCCTCTTCCTCCTCCTCGTCCTCCTCAGGGTCGCTGCTGTAGGCCTCCGAGCCATTGCTCCACGCCTTGGAGCTCTCTCGCAGCATGCTGAAGCCTTTTTAGACAGGCAGGTTGGGAACTGGAGAGAGGGGAGGTTAAGAGATTGGAAGTTGGGAGATAAGGTGAATACACCGGCTGGATGTTTGTGTGAAAAAGCAGAAAGAAGACGAGGTGATAGTGAGACACTGGTGCATTAAGATTGTTCTTTTCACTTTGGATGAACCTCCTGATTATTTTCTTCATTCGCTGATTGTTTCCATAAAATGTTAGAAAATACGAAAAAATAGTCAAACCATCACAATTTCCCAGAGCCCGAGGTGATGTTTTTTAATTGTTTGTTTTGTCCAACAAACAGAAAATCTATAAAAATCTATTAACATTCTCATTTAAAGTGCTGGAAGCAGTGGATTTGTCATAAGTGCTTAAAAAATGTTATTGTAATCATTTTACAAGCTGGAAAAGAAAGCAACACGTGGGGGTGAAAAAAGACCCTGGTTGAAAAACACTGGTTATTTAAAAAAGGGGGGTTATGCTGACCCCTAACGTGAAACTTCCAACAATATACTGGGGATAGAGTGCCACCTAGTGGGACATTTAACCGAATGAAGCTTATCACCCACATTTCAATCAAAATACCATCTGAAAATCCACCTGATCTCAATAATAGGGAGACATAAGGTATGGATACTGATTATAGACCAAAACTGCATCCTACAGTAATTTAATCTCTGTACAATGACGTGCAATTAGAGCACGCTAAATCAGTGACATCAACAACGTCATGTCTACAGTATAAAAGGCCGTAGAGGCTCGTGACAACAATGTTTGTATCGCGTGTACATCCAGGAAACCCTTTGCGGAAAGAGCTCGTGCAAAATTTCATGACGGGCGTTTATCCTAAAAAAAAGTCACAAATTATCTCGTGAAAACACTGAAAACACCGAACTAAAATCCCGTTATAAACTACAATTAAGAGATAATTCATACGAAAGTTAGCACTGAGTCACGGCTGCACGCGCACGGGTGAAGTTACTGTTTTCATTTTCCCTTTTTCGTCGGTTTTAATTTACTCACCTCGCTACTGTCAGTGACAGCGGCACAAACGACCCATTGCGAGGTATTTACAGGTGACTTTGTTTAATCAAACAGTCTGAAGCTGGTGTGTTTTTGAAGGCTGCTGTCAGATACGTCGGTGTTTGTTATTACGGGATTATTGGAGACTATTTGATGCAGCCTACTCCGGCGTCGGGACCCCGCAGGTGAGACCAATGAGATGCCGGCCGAGGCTCGCGGCAACCAATGAGGATGCAGCAAGGGGGAGGATGGAGGAGGATGCTCCGTTTCAAGATTGGTGGCGACCGAGAAGCGAAAGGGCACATAGCGGTCTGCTGTAAAACTGGGCTTTTAATTTGACAAGGACGTCCCAGAGAGCCACACCAGACAGTCTGTTTACCAATCAACTCTCTCACCAAGCCCAGTGTGTAAAGATAGTGAGGTGGTCGCATCGCTACAAGCTTTTACAGCAGGCAGATACAATTCTCTGGATCCACCTGTTGCACACACAAAAGGTACTTACATTTTTAAGTTTGTAGTTTATTTATTTTTTGCAATACTTGATTTTCAAGCAACATGAAGCAATGAGGTTTTAAAAAGAAACCTAGGTAGGTCAGTATCCAGCAAACTGCATACTGGATCATAGGATTATGACTCTACAAACAATGCTAAATGAATTAAAGTATTGTTTTATTGCCACAGATTAAAGAAAAATAGCTTAATCAACTCCATGGTATGGTGTGCAGTTCCTAAAGGAGACACAGACTGTACTCTGATATTGTTTTGTTAGGACCTTTATTGTTTGCACCTTTCACCAAAGAAATAAGTAGTTATGCAAGAAAAAGGCCAGGGATATCTGGTGAGTGACAAGAGAAAACAAGGTTTGACTACCAAATCCCAACAACAAGCATGTTGCAAACCTTGTGCCTCTGGCTCATCTTACACAGCGAGCGCTTGTTCAAACATTTCTGTGATGAAAAGCTTACTGATAAAAACATATAAATATATAATCTTGTGCATCTCTGCACATTTCTTGCTAACTCTGATACACCAAAAACAAGACACATGGCTCCAAATACACCAAAACTAGGTTATGTTTATTTTATATGACACCAGATTGCATAAAATGTACAATGGAACAAGTTTGACTTTCAGTGAACCTCAGTGACTGTTTTAAAGGCTGTTCTGGTTCAGTTAGAAGGCAGTTTTAATAACAAGACAAGCTTATGTGACGCTGATGTACTGAATACTGTGGAAAGGCTCTGTGCTTTATTAACACTGTAGAAATCCATTGCCACATGTATGCAGAGGTGGAGTGTATCCAATTTGCGCAGCCATTCATTCATTATGGAGTAATAGCCGTTTCACTTATTGCTGCAGTCTTTCAGCTTGTCAAATTTGACGCACATTCGAAAAACACTGTACCACAAAAACATGTAAGCAACTCCATACTATTGGTTTCATTTTTCTTCATTTGTCATCAGAAACTTCAAGGCATTAAGTTAACAGGACAACCAAAATAAACAGTATTTAAATTATTTTAGCCAAAAACAAAGTGGATTACCCTTTTATACGTTCATTACACATTTTGTAGACTAGTTGTACAATTTATCAATAATTTCAAGATGCAAGCGTGATTCACTTCCCTTCTATTTGAGTCATCTAAAGTGTTATCACCTTTCTTTTCAAAGATTACAGTGGCCTCTGTATAACTGAACTGCTACAGTGACGCTTCACTCACTAGGTGCATTATTTATCCAGTGTAAAGCTACTTTATAAAAAGCACACTAAAAGAAACATTGAAAATTAATAAATACATTACAATAAATTAGAATAATTGCACCAAATGTTTGGTCATGTCAGGAAAAGCAGTAATACAATGAGATTCCAAGAAAAATGTGGAGTGAAACCCTGTCATATAAGACAGATATTAAAAGTCAAAATGTTCATTGGCAAGTTTCCAAAAAAAGTCTGCAGCTACATTATATAACATTGATAACATCCTGGTTTTGAGGAGTAACTCAATGGAAGAACAGATCACTGTATGTTCCCATTAACGAGTGAATGGGAACAAAACAGCTGGAAGTGAGTCCTTACATCTCAAAGCTACAGGGTACAGGCAGTAAGCGTCAAGGCACAACACTATCTCTGCTGTCAGCTTCAGGTTTCTTTCGTTCATTTTTGGAATGAATACAGTCGACATCTTCTCAAAAAAAAGAAAAGAAAAAAGGAATGCTTCTCAAGGTCACATTTTGGTTTAGATGTTTCATAAAGGAAAACATGTGGAGAGGAGTGTAAGGCAGAGTGAGAGAACATCTAAAACACCCAGTGGACACCCCCCGACTGGGCTGGAAGTTGGTCTTGTATATATGTGAAAAGAATCGAACATACCCAGTTTAGCCTTTCAAGGTCCTTGAAAAGTGTTGGGAAAAGGGGGGGACAAAAAAAAAAACCCATTAGAAATACTCTGTTTTAATCTTTCTTTAAGTCAGGCAGGTCATGGGACGCATCAGTGGATCTAGAGCTGACTGGTGGCTGTTCCAGGTTGACGGGTATAGTAGCAGGAGCCACCCCATCGTTGTTGACCAGGGCTCCATACGAGAAAGAACCATTGAAGTCTACCAGGCCTTTATCGTGGATTGTTGGGACACCTGACGATGGAAGGGTGTGGACAGGTAAGATATATTGTTCAAGTAAGCAACAATGTTAAAAAGCGTGTGTGTAATGGACTTTATTTATAGCGTTTAAAGACTGACCAGGCATTTTATCTATCTTGCTCTGTATAGCTTGAAATCTCAACAGAGACAATTTTCAGTATTTCTATAAAGTTTATACAAACCATTTGCCATATCCATAGTGACGTACGGCTCAAACGTCTTGGTCCTTTTCCTGTTTTTGGTGATGAGAAAGACCCCCAGGAAACAGAATGCAGATCTGTACACAAAGGAATCAGTAACAGGCGTTACTCAAAATAACGTTGCAAATATTTCAATGTCAGTCATCATATATTCCCATAAAATGTCTGTTATCTTTTACTTTATTTTATTATTTGTGTTTGGCTGTACAAATAATGTAATAGCAGACATTTAGACTTATACTAGGGAAAACGCAGCATGATACCCAATACCAGGACACTGGAACTGAAGCAGCTAAATTAAATCAAAGCCATCATTATGTGCGTGTTGTGCTTTTCCAACTGTGACATGTCAAAATGACTCACCCCAACAGAAACATGCAGATGTGAAGGATGTCTTCATTCTTAAACTCCAAGTAAAAGACAGCTCCTGAAAACCAGAAAAAGAAGAAATCTTTGATGACTCTAAAGTGGTGTCTGCCGATCAGGCTCCAGAGCTCAACTCTTTGTCTCTTCTGCCAGCTAGTGATCTGCGTGCACTGGTCCACCAGGTTCGGATTGAAAACTGACACTCACCAGCTACCACGGCAAAGACGGTGGAGAGGATGTAGTTGACGCTGGCAATCAGACAGGAGTCATGCAGCTTACAAGCTTGAGAGAGAAATCTATGAAGACAATAAGACAAAAAAGGGGAAACGATGATCACTGAGGAAACCTTATTCAAAGACCAGGCCTTAATTCCGTTCACTTGTAGAGTAAAGAACAAAAACTGAAATAGCAAGCTGACGTCTATATCTTTGACATCACTGACAGTCAACTGCAGCCACCGGCTAACCACACTTTCCCCTCTGCTTACAGTAAATACTTCATCTTTGATCTCACTCACTTGGCCTGGAAGACCACTGAAGCCACCATGCACACAAACATGACGCTGAAGATCGGGTAGTTAAGCTGCATGGTGCCCTCGATGGTGAGAACCAACATGCCTGAAACCGCCTTCACAGTAATGACAGTGACAGATCCTGCACCAAAGTCAAAAGCACAGTTAAATAGAGACCAAACAGCTTAGGTGCCTTTTGGACATTAAATACATGGCAATGTATTCTAATAAAAGCATGGTAATAGCTTGACTTTACAGGCGGGATGAAATTGACTGGCTTTAATGCCCTGAGACTCACCCAGTAGAGAGACCAGCAGAAGAATAATAACGAGGTAGTTAGCACGGCGCTGTTTGTAGAAGTATAAAAGCAGGCAGAACGTGATGATCTCCAGGAGCTGTCAATAAGGGTAATAGCAACAATAAACGGTAAATTAATATTGAATAAACAAAACAGGAAGCACTGCAGTCGTTGCCAAATTCAATAATAGCACAATCAATCGTAAAGCCAGAGACAAACATTTATGCTGAATAACAAGGTCCAGAAGGCTGGGAAATGTGATGTGTTCAATGCAAGTTTGTGGACCAAATAATTAAAAACAACCGAAACATGACATATAATCCAGCAGTAGATGCCAATTTAGTAAAGCTCATAATGTTTGGTTATGGCTGAGACTGACAGAGAATTTGATGGTCATTTTTATGGCTGCAGCTGTGTGTTGAAAAGGGAATACAAGTGTCTCTCATGTCCTATTTGTAACCACTGTTCCTCTTTGCTGCTGCGATGTTTGGCATACCGCTTTCTGTTATTATTTATGAGACTTTTATCCTTAGCCACATTAAATAATGATGCAGTGTTTGTAACTGATGAATCAGCAATTCAGGGAGTGACTATCTATCCTCTTCTCACCTCTACAAGTACAATGTCTTTAAATGTTATAAATAAGTTATTTCTCAGACCTTGATTAAAGATGACACATACTGGTAATTGGTATTCCACCTAATATGACTTGCTTGTGCCGATTCCTTTGTAATGGTTTTAACTGTTGAATAGTCACTGCCTGAATTCCCGGTGTGTCAATTACAACCTGCACCTGCAGGGTGGAGAGGCCTACATGCAAAACTCAGGCAAAGAGCAACAGCAGTCACAGATAGACGTTCACCAACATTGACGTGATGGCAGCATATTTTCTTATCAGCCCTACACCCACAACAATGACCACTGAGTTGATTTAACACCTATAATAGGATCAGCAAAAAACCTGTACTGCAGGGCTGTGTTGCTTTTTGCTATTTAGCCATGTAACATGTGGCTGCTACACCTGAATCAACTGTTTCATATCTGTTTAGCGAGTGTGGAAAGTAAGCACATTAGATTTGAAAGCAGGGATGAAATGAGTCAACTGCGTATTGAGGCGTGT